ATTTTTAAATTTTGGAAGGTATGTTGTATTTGTATGTGGTAATAATGAATTTAGTTTATTTTTACCATAAAAATCTCTAACCATTTGTGCAACTATCACGTAATTGTATGATTTGGGAGGTCTTTCACAAACGTTGAAAGCTGTGAGTAAAAACTGATTTTAAAAATGTGAAAAACTGCAAACATGGTTTGCACCGCTGAGGTTGAATGTGGAGAGCAGGGCCTAGCAAAAGGGTTAAATCGCATATATGATCTGCTTTCTTGGGGTCATTGCAAATTAATTTAAGATGAACAGAGATCTCGACACGCGATCATTACATTTAGAGTCTTAGCACCAAACACTACAATGGCATCAGTGGTGAGATACTTTATTTCAGGTCATATGAGTAAGAATCAAGCTCAACCAGCAGACTAGTTAACGTGTTAACAGGTAAATAAATTAGTAGAATGCTAGAACGAAGCGCCACGACCTAATGCAATGACTAAGGTGGGATGAGGCGGGGGTGTGTGTGGTTTTTAACTCACCTGTACAGGGGTGAGCACTCGCTTCAACATGCAGATGAGGAGGAGAGCGTGGTGTGATGGTGTGGAGCGACAAGGTCGTATTCTTCCTTACTGGGCGGCAGCGTGATGGACCAGGGTACAATGGACGGAAACGGAATAACAAAGGTGCTGAGGCTGGAGGATTAACACAGGCAAAAAATTAATTCTGTAACTCACCGTTGAGTTGGTGGTGGTGGTGTGATGTCAACGACGGAGGTGGGATGAGGAGCTGTTGGTGGTTTAGCAAGCGGTGTCCTGTTCTGGTCGTCTGTTGGGTTGGAGTCCGGTCGGTGTGCTGCTCGGATGGTAGGAGTGATCCTAGGGCAGTTTAATTGCTGTTGTAGAGATCCTGGTGGATGATCCTGAATGCCAGGAGTATTGGTGAAAGAGGAGGGGAGGCTGGAGTCTCCACTGATGGGCACCAGGCTGAAGGAAGCACGTGTCAGGGCGCTGCGGGACCCGGATGTATGGCGTCCTCGTTGCTAGAAAATTCAATAGAGACGGGGGGCGGGTATGCAGAGGAGCTACCGTGGTGTTGCAGCGTTCGGCTGCTCAGGAGATGCCGTCTGTCTGTGTGGGGGCTGAGCGTCCTGTGGGGCAGAGGAGCCGTCAGGACCCGGCCTTCCACTCAGCAGCACAGTGGGGCTAAGTCTGCCGGGAGCAAGTGGGTACTGCGGTGAGCGCCGCTGGTGGTCATCAGGTGCTGGTGTGGGATGGAAGGCAGAGCATGGTGTGCGGGAAAGGCTGGCCACACAATCGTGACGGCAGGGAGAAGGAGTGTCAATACACTCAATGTCCGATGGAACTGAGGCTGGCAGTTTGTCAGGGATTTGTGCTAATGCAAAAACCTTTAAATGCGCAGTATTTTTCTGATGTTTTAGGAGTAAATGGTGTGGGACACTGTGTTCAATACAGCCCTCTTCGATGAACCTCCAGTGTTCCCTAATACGTTTGCGAAGAGGGGGGGCGAACAGTACGGCCTATGTATAGGAGATTTCAAGAGCATTGGAGGCCGTAGATGACGTGGTCGTGGGCGCAGGTAATAAATTGTGAAATGGGAAATTTGTTACCAGAACTATCTTGGAAGAAGGATTGGCCATGGGAAATTAATTTTTAATACTGCAGGCTTTTTTGAAGATGACAGAGGGTTTGGTGGGAGTAAGGGGCCCAAATTGGGATCGCAGAGTAGTGGGTGCCAATTCTTCCTGAGAATGGCTTTGATTGCCTTGTACCTGTTGTTGAACGGTGATGAAACATGCTACGTTTTTTTGGTGTTGGTGATCCGGTTTATTGAGGGGTGGTTTTGGGATGGTTGTGATGAACTGACAAGTCTTTTTAGAGAAATTTTTCTTTCTTGTTGGATATAATCCTCTTTGTTGGTACAATTTTAATTAATTCTCTAGAATTGATCTTTTGGGACGTTATGTTTCCAGAGGGGATGGTGGCAGCTTTTAAAATGGAGGGACGAGTTTCCAGCAGTGGGTTTAAAGTGTGTTTTGGTGATGATTCCTCCTTCAAAGTGTGTAAGTTCGAGGTCTAGGAAGACTAAACTAAGCAGATCGGTGACATGAGTGAATCTAAGTCCTGAGGGGTTGGTGTTGCAATGCCATGGATAGTGTCTAATGGACCGCCCCAGATGATGACTATGTAACGGCCATAGTAGATGAGGTGGCGGGCGAAAGGGTTGTTGTGCCAGATATGAAATTCTTCCCAGAAAACCATTGCTGAGATTTGTAGTCCCTCTACAGCTTGGAGTCAGTGGCAGAACTTCCAGGATCACAGCAGCCTTGGCCTTGGCGCTCTGCCACTATCCTAAAATCAATAGTCTGTGTTGTTTTAGAAAAACACATTGTCAACAAACTCATTGACAAAGGTATCCGTAATTGGTATCGGCGAGTACTTGAGGAAAATAGTACCGTTGCATCCATAATAATAATAGTGTGCGACTGTGGAGATTAGAGTGTAAGCTCCTCTGGTGCAGAGACAGATGTGACTGGTTTAGTGTTTTCTGTACTGTATTGTTGTATATGTCAGAGCCTCAAAAAACACTGACAGACGCACACAAGCACAATCTCACACACTCAGATTCTCTCTCACACACACACACTCCCAAAAATATTTAATTATTTTTCTCTTAAGGTCCAACCAGTCTCCCTATCTTATGGGAACTGGTGTGGATCTTCAGCCTGGTTATTTAGCCGAAAGTGCAATTTTCGTCCGGCGCCCCCCCTTCACTTTTCGCCCGGGGCCCGCGCCCCTGCTGCACCCCCGGTTGTTACGCCACTGCTTGTGTGCCCTGTAAAAGGTGCTGGGAGCCGGAATGTGACGTCAGTCCAGGCACCTCTACAGGACACGCGAGGGAGCTGTAAGCAATTCACGTATGAATGGAGCTCCCTTGCAGCCATAGCCCCATCCCACCCCACCTCAAGTTGATGCTTGGCATCGGGCAGCATATTTTGATTGGATGCTTGGTTGCGAGAACTGACAGTGCTGCGCTAGGGGGAAACTGGGTAGCCTCTCACCTAGAAAAGTGGAAGGCATGCGGTGACCCACTGAACACAGGGTCGCGACCCACTTTTGAGTCACGACCCACCAGTTGAGAACCAAGGATCTAGTAGTGATGAAGTGTCAACATTATACCCAAGTCCTGAGAACATTTTTCCATATATGTGTGTGGGAGGGGACGAGTCTTACAACAAAGAAGTGTACAGCAGAGAGACCATACCCTAGCATGGGGGATTCGGCACAATTCACTCATAAGGAGTAGTGATGAGCCGAACACCCCCCTGTTCGAATTTGAACTTTCGAACATGGGAAAAGTTTGAAAATCGAACTCGAACTCAATGGGGGTAGAAGTTTCAAAATCAATTGACCCCATTTTGAAGGCTTATATGCAAGTTAATGGCCATAAAAAGCGTACGGGAATTCGGGTACTGCCCTGGGGGACATGTATCAATGAAAAAAAAACTTGTACAAAATTAAAATTTTAAAGGAACAGTTATTTTAACATCACTTAAAGTGAGATAATAAAAATGAAAAATTCCTTTAAATATAATTCCTTAGGGGTCCCCTTTAACTGCCTGTGAAGTGACGGATCTGTACAATGTATAGAACCTGCTGATGCAAAAATGACATTTAAAAAGAAAAAAAAAAAGCATGTGGTTCCCCCTTCCAAACAATACCAGACCCTTTAGGTCTGGTAGGAATGCTAGGAGGTTCCCCCCAAAAGAAATACTAGACCGTTAAGGTCTGGTAGGAATTTTAAGGAGGAACCCCACCCCCAAAAATAGAGGGGGGGGAAACGTGGGGTCCCTCCTAACATGATAAACTAACAATAAATAAAACAATACAAAATTAGCCCCGATGCTGGCGACGTACACTGTACGTCGTCAGTCACGAAGGGGTTAAAACATTTAAAAAACGACGAACGCCACCCTGTCCGCACACGACGAACACCTGCTGCAGAATGGCATTTTGACAGATGCCAGCAACATATAAACAATTGGGCGGAGCTAGCAGTGACAGCTAGCTCCGCCCAACTGTTTAAAGTTGTACAGCATCTGACAGGTGAGCCATGATTGGGCAAAGTCATCATGACTTTGCCCAACCATGGCTCTTACAGAGGTCAAGTGCAAGGCTTTAGCAAATTAGGGCTCACAAGGCACAGTGCCTTGCGAGGAGCTCGTCGGGTGAACAGCCCGCCAATTGCCCTGACAGTTCATGTGTTTGTGCTTATGCCCAATAAGGAGTAAGGGAAGAGCTATTAGGTAACGAAAGGACCAACGAGGTGACATAGTGACTGATCTGTAAATAGCGGAAGAGTTCCAAATTAGGGAGATTATGCCGTTGTTGTAGAAATGGAAAAGAGAGCATGCCAGAGGTATCAACAAGGTTATGAATGCGAATGAGGTCTTTAGAAGACCAAACATAGAAAAGGGACAGGGATTCCAAGCCAGGTGGAAAAGTTGGGTTACGAAGAAAAGAGAGAAGAGGTAAATGGGAGGGAAATGGGAGCTTCTTGGATGTAACAGGCCGTGTATATACTGCCTGTTAGCCCCGCCCACTCGTGGCGTGCGAGCTGGAAATGACCAAACTTCTACAAAGGGGGGTTTCTTAGCCCCCTATGTGATAACAATAAAGTTAAGTGAAAAAAAAATAAGGTTGCAAAAAAAGAATAAATGTATTATAACATAATGTAAAAAAAAGTTCTCAGTAATTTTTCTTAATATAGCAACAAATAAAAACCCCAGTGGTGATTAAATACCACCAAAAGAAAGCTCTATCTGTCTAAAAATGGTATACAATTCAGTCAGTACCGCAGCGCTAAATACTGAAAAATGGCCTGGCCAGGAAAGGGGTGTACACCTGGTCTTCAAGTGGTAAAAAAATAATACACAATAACGCTGTTCTAATATGCAGAATATAGCATAACTTCTGGGATTTTACATATTTCAACAGCATGAAGAACGTGTTCTTAAAAGAATTCGCCGTAAAATTCGTAATAAACAATCAGCTCAAGAAAGTAGAAAAAAGAAGAAGGAGTATATGGATGGATTGGAGATCAGGTAAGACTATAAATTACATATGAAGTGGAAAATCATAACAATCTTACCACACTATTACAATATTATTATCTGAATAAGTAGGAAGAGTTAAAATGATCACCTCTGACGCAGGCAGTTAGGTCAGGCTTCCAAGGATATTGAAGAGTTCTGCAGTCTGTAATATTGCTTACTAATGATAAGTACGAGGACTAAGCTATTTGGTCTGAGAAAAGAATACCAATGCAAGACTGATGTGAATGCACAGTATGCAAAGTGCAATGTAAATTGTTAGCGCTATATAAATGCCTATAAATAAAGACAGCATGCATACAAAAGGCTCCTTAATATTAATCTATGATTGCAAATCATTAAGGGAATGAAAACAGACTGCTCCTAATGAATACTAATGAAAACTTTTTTGCCTCAATACTGTATTTTATATTTTAAGAACTTTTTTACTTTTCTTGTTAAAGGTGAATATAGAGGGTCCAGAACACAGGTGCTGGTTGTGACACACCAGGATAAATACCTTATTTAAGCATTGCTCATTTACCATCTAAAAGACTTTTCTTTTCCCAGCCGCTGCTGTCCTCCTGCCTCCCATACAATGTGAACTCTGCAGGAGGCGGGCGTCTAAGCAGTGCTGGGGCTGAGAAGGCTGCATGGAGACAGAGCAGGCAAGCAGATAGCAGGGGCTGGGGAGGGCTTGTATTCTTGTGAGTATGCTTCTATTTTTAGTCCCAAGTCCAGCGCCTTAATAATTCTGGAGTCCAGCGGAGTTCCTCAGCCTGCTCATGGCCAGACACCCAGCAGCTTTACACCTCCCTGTGTGATGACGGTCCTCCCGACCTTTCTAAACACACCTGGTGTGCCACAGACCCTCCTGGCCTCGCCCACATACCGCGTGTGCCACAGGCCCATTCGGCCTCTCCAGCCAGACTCTCATGTGTCATATACACACAGTCTCCCACGCTCTGCATGTATTCCCGAACCACTGACTGCCTCTTCCTCTCTGTCCACTCTTAACAGGGCTGTTATCAGCCACCTGAACAGTCTGGCCTGGCAATTGGCTGCACCTGGCCCCAGAACTGGAGATTTCATCCCGCCCAAAAGACTCTTAGAAATCTCCAGAGACCCAGATCCCAGTTATACTCCAGCAGTGGCGTCGCTACAGGGGGGCAACAGTGGCGGATCCGAGTGTGCACCCGCTGCTTGTTCGGTGCGGCCGGTGGCCAGCCCAGTCAGAGCGGTGGAGGGAGAGAGGGGGCGGAAATTGCCCAGTTCCCCCTCCAACGAGAAAATAGTCTCTCCCTCCGCCGCTCTGACTGAGAGGGCCACTGGCCGCACCGAACAAACAGCGGGTGCACAGGTTCCAATCAGGTCCCCTGACGTCACTCAGATCTGCCCCACAGATGACTCCATGGGAAAATAGCCGCGGAATTTGAAGTAACTCTCGCCGAGAGCTGGTGAGAGGCAAAAGTACATCAGCCTGCAGGCCCACTAAGGGGGCAGCGCTGGGGCCACAGCCAGGAGAAACGAGCAGCAGCCACTTGATTTCAGAGCCCACCACCTCTCCCTGCTGCATGTGTTCCCACCATGAGGACAGTCAAACAAGGTATGTGCCTTAAGTCACATTGTTTGTAACCCTCTGTAACTGATGGAATTGTTCTGCATTTATGTATAAAAGTATTGCTGGAAGTTGTAGCCCTCCATAGCTGGTGCCATTCTGCATTGCAGCAGTTGGGAATGACATCAGCTATAGAGGACTACAACTCCCAGCAATACTTTATACAGAAATGCAGAATAGTAATGCCGATAGAGGACTACAACGTCCAGCAGAACTTTATACGGCAATGCAGAATTGCGAACGCTGTATAAAATATCGATGGGAGTTGCAGTCCTCTATTCGAGGAGGAGAGGGTTTTGGGATGTTTCAAGTGCATTTATTGTGCACTTTATTTCTATTTTTATTACACTGTAATATATAATGAAGGTATTATTATTATTAAGTCAACATATTGCAGAATCAGTGGGAGCCCTGAGCTTGTTTTTCTGCTCTCAGGTGGCCATTGCAGGCTCTCAGGTGGCCAGTGCGGGCTTTTTGGTGGCCAGCGAGGGCTTTCAGGTGGTCAGTTGGCCAGTATGGGCATTGAAAAGAAATCTTGCACCAGGGCCCTTTGTTCCTTAGGTCCGCCACTGGCTGCCGGTGTTCTGATCTCCAATGACGATCTCCAATTCCGTCATTTCCACCTGGTTCCCAGCAGTGCAGGTCCAGCGGCAGAGGAGGTCAGACCCCAGCAGCAGGTAAGGGAAGATGGGACGGAGGTATAGGGAAAGGGACCCTGACCAGCCCACCTGAGATCCTGCAGAGCCCACCATAGGGAGTCTCAGATGGGCTCTGCAGGATCTATGGTCACTCTCAGGTGGACTGTGTGGCATCTCAGGTATTTGTGGGGTCTCAGGTGGGCTCTGCGGGGTCTCAGGTGGGTCCTGAGGCCTGTGCGTACCTAAGTCTAGAGTCCAGTCAATCCTAAGTCCAGAGGCCAGTGCGTTGCAAAGTCCTGAGTCCAATTCATATACAGTTCTGCATTGCTGTATAACATATTGCCGGGATTTGTAGTACAGCCGGTGCCATCCTGCATTAGAGTGTAAGCTCCTCTGTGCAGAGACTGATGCGGCTGGCTCAGTGTTCTCTGTACATCTCTGCAGTATATGTCAGAGCTATATTAATGTATAATAATAATAATAGTAGTGTGAGACTGTGGGAGGACGTTGGTATGTAAGCTCCTCTGGTGCAGAGACTGCCGGGGGGGTTGGGGGGCCAGTTTGTTCCTTAGGTCTGCCACTGTTTTTGCTGTTGGTAATAAGTGCAGTACAGAACTTAGTAGGTTCCCGGCCCATCTTCCCTATAACTTGGAACCTTTCTGTACATGCAGGAAGGGGAGTTTTCAGGAGGCGGAGCTTGGTCTGTTGCGGCCTTTACCAAAGAGTGATCAGGGAGTGGAGCAGAGTCGCTTGAGTGGTAAGGTAAGTGTTGATGATGGGGGGCCCCGCACAAAGCCTGCATAGAGCCCGCAGCCCACCTGAGAGCCCACACAGCCCACCTGGGAGCCTGTACAGGCTTAGATATGCTTGTGGATAGATGAGGGGCAGTTAGTGTTGGTGAAAAGGGAGTGCGGTTAGTGATAAGGGAGGGGGGTAAGGGAGGGTGGGGGGGCCCAGGCCTAAAGCTGTGTAGGGGCCCCTAAAGTTTCTGATGGCAGCCCTAACTCCTGCCCTTTGGAGCTACACCCTGCCATGTGGATCTCTCCAGCACCTTCCCTTGTACACTATGTGGAATTACAAAAGTCTGCTTACTGCAAGTATACCTTTGAGTTGACAAAGTTAACCCTTCACTTGCTGGGATTGCTATTAACTTATAACTGATTCAAGTACTGTTGATATTGGAGTTAGTCTTAGGCCTGGTTAACACATGCGCATTTTGAAGGCGAGTGGCGATGTGCGTGATCGGCATGTGTCTGTGGAAATGTGCCAAAACGCACTTGCTGTGCCATTGATTTCTAATGGCACCCCAAAAGCGGCTAACAAGTCGCGAGGTATTCTGCTGCATTTCCATGCATGCAAAAGCAGCAGAATAATGCATCCCGCGCATCACACAAAATAGTGTGAGGAGCCTTCTTGCTAATCAATCAATGCTTGAAATCAATGGAGCCGTGCAGCAAACGCAAATGCGTGTTCGCGGGAGGGACAGGTGTGAAGCAGGCCTTATTCTTTACTCACAATTATCTTGGGGGAGGGGTCACAGAGAAAAAGTGCACTGTAGTTAGGAAAGTTAGGCGGCCGCCTCAGCCCATGCTGGGCTACAGACCGCCCAGGACTGACAGCAGCGGCAACGACAGCACCAGCAGGAGGATCTCTGTAGGAGAAGCTAGGTAAACACGCTGTTCCCTGGGGAGAGCTGGGGTTCAGTGCACACATTGAAGGCAATGGACTCAGTGGGAAACGAGAGAGGTGGCAGTGAGAGAGGTGGGAGAGGAGGAGAGAGGTGGCACTGGGAGCAGTGCGCGGTGGCACATTGGCAGTGGGAGAACCAAAGGGGGTTCAGTGGACACAGAGGCGGTGGGGGTAAAATAAGAGATGTGGGCACAGCGGCAAATAGAGGGCTGCCCAAGGCTGCCAGCAGCAAGAGGATCGCAGGGGGAGAGGTCAGGTAAGAGTTCTGTACTTCATAGCTAGGATGAGTCAACTGAGCTCTGTACCCTATAGCCACGATGAGAGGTTAGGTGAGCTGTGTACCCCATAGCTACGATGAGAGGTTAGGTGAGCCCTGTACCCCATAGCTACGTCGGAAAGAACTGGAAAACCAGCTCCTTCCCTGTAACACTATATGTTTTCAGGACCCTCTAAGCCCACTAAACACACCAATAACCATAGTATACTGCTCAAAAAAATTAAAGGAACACTTTGAAAACACATCAGATCTCAATGGGGAAAAATATCATGCTGGATATCTACTGTATACTGGACTAAGGAACAAAAGGATGCCATGTCGTTTGATGGAAATGAAAAATGATCAACCTACAGAGGGCTGAATTCAAAGACACCCCAAAAATCAAAGTGAACAAATGATGCAGAAGGCTAGTCCATTGTGCTGAGATTTAATTGCAGCAACTCAAAATGGTACTCATTAGTGTCTATGCCCCCCACGTGCTTGTATGGATGCCTGACAACGTCAGGGCATGCTCCTTATGAGACGATGGATGGTGTCCTGGTGTATCTCCTCCCATATCTGGCCCAAGGCTTCACTGAGCTCCTGAACAGACTGAGGTGCAACCTGGCGACGTCGGATGGGCCGAGACATAATGTACTAGAGGTGTTCTATTGGATTCGGGTCAGGCGAGCGTGGGGGCCATTCAATGGTATCAATTCCTTCATCCTCAAGGAACTGGCTGCATACTCTCGCCACATACTCTTGTGCACCAGGAGGAACCCAGGATCCACTGCACCAGCATAGGGTCTGA